AGGTACCATGAGGGGGTCCATTTACACATTATTTTGAGAGAAATGCCAAATAGGCTATCCCCTCACTCACCCTCTCCCATTATTTCGGCCAAAGAGACCCAAGAGAGAAGGATAGCTCTTGCAACCTCATCCTCCATAGCCAAGAACTGAACTCAAGCAAGGAAGCTCCAAGGAGGAAGATTAAAGGGAGAAAAAGGCTAGGAAAAGTGAGAAAGATTAAGGTAATGACCTTGTATTAACTTTTCCTTTATTTTTCCCCTAACCTATGAGATACATATCTTATGGAGAACCCTTGAGGTTGTTCTACATGCCAATAGTGTGGAATAATGGGTTGGGGAGTAGGTCTAAGTCCAAGAACGGACTTAGAAGCCAAACCGACCGGTTCACCGGAAAATAACCTTTTAAGGGTTATGTGTATTGATTAAGGTTTTATGATGTTAAAACCTTGTTAGGAGCTTGATTTAGAGTATCTTTGAGCTTCGCCGGAGTTTCGCCGGAGTTGGTCAAAGTTGGCCGGAGTTGGTCAAAGTTCACCGGAATCGGTCAAAGTTCAACCGCGGAGCGTAGAACACGCTTAAGCTCACTTAAGGTGAGGATGACCGACTATATTGCTTATAATTATTGGGTTAATTTCATAAGATTACCTAAATGAATTATATGTGTTTGGCATGATTTATTTATAATAAAAAGATGCCTAAATGAGATTATTATTGTTTATAAGTAAAAATGCATAATATACAAATTTATGAACAAATTGTGTATGATTGTGTGTTATGAATACAATGACATCATAGTGGTGTAAACTATAAACTAAATTGTGATAAATATACTTTTACCTCATGTAAGAAAGTCATGGAAGGATAAAAGTGATATTTGATATTAGAGCCAAGTTATACTTGAATGAGGAATTTAATTGAAATATCCAAATTGTTATGAACTCAAGTTACATTTGGAGTAAGCCTTAGGGGTTACTCAAAATGGATGGAACCTAGACTAAGAAGTGGTTTAGGGATTAGTTGACGTGACTATGAGCCGAGCTCTAGCACGTGGTAGGGTGACTATGAGCCGAGCTCTAGCACAAATTAGTATGACTATGAGCCGAGCTCTAGCAAGCGTAGGGTGACTATGAGCCGAGCTCTAGCACAAATTAGTATGACTATGAGCCGAGCTCTAGCAAACGTAGGGTGACTATGAGCCGAGCTCTAGCACAAATTGATATGACTATGAGCCGAGCTCTAGCATGGAGGACATGAGTTAATCATAAATGAATAACATCTTAGATTGAGGGTCTTGGAAATTGAAACTTTGATTATACTTAGTATAGTTGTCATTGTACTTGTCAAATGCTTCCAAGTACTGACCTCCCCTTCACGGGGGAGGCCACCTCACAGTTTCAGGTAGGGAGTAAAGCTTGCTGCCATCACCGTTGCTCGGGTAGGATCCAAGAAGAGGAGACGTGGTTCGTGCCTCTTCAGATTCCATTTTTCAAACACTTTAATTAATGCTCATGGATAATGTTTTTCTATTGAATATTTAATGGGGGCTTGTATGCCCATGTTTGCCAAAGTGTGGCATGAACACTTGTACCAAATGTTTCCGCTGCTTTGAATGAATATTTTACATTATGTTTGTTTATGGATGTACTATGCGTGATTGATATCTCGGACGCCTTGTATAGTATGAATGTGTTGGACTGCGGTTGACTATTCGTACTGTACGGCGGATTGTTGACGTGTCCGGATAGGTCCGGGTCGTGACAAATCCCGACCCCACCATATCACCATCTACCCTACCCCTACCCTACCCTACTACACCCCCTACCCTACCTCCTACCAATATGCCCCTACCTCGGCCCACCGATCCCGGCCCCACCCTACCGCCATCCTACCCTTACCCTACCCTACCCTAACCCCCTACTTCGGCCCCTCCCCGATCCCGACCCCAACCTATTGCCATCTACCTTACCCCTACCCTACCCTACCTTACCCTGACCCCACCTTACCCTACCCCTACCACATGCTACCATCCCGACCCCACCCTACCTTACCCTCAACCCCACCCTAACCCCCACCCACCCACCATCCCTTACTCCTAACCACGACCTACCCCACTCCCTACCACTTGCCCCTACCTTGGCCCTACCCCGATCCTAACACCACCCCACCCCTATCCCACCCTACCTCACCCCTACCATACCCCCACCACATGCCCCTACCTCAGCCTCACCCCGATTCCGACCCCACCCTACCGCCATCCTACCCCCACCCCCTATCGTGGTAAGGGAAGGGTAGGGGTCAAGGGTGTGGAATTGGGGGTAGGGTGGTAGGGTAGGGGTTAGGGGTGTGGTACGTGGGGGTATAGGGCAGGGTAAGGGTTAGGGGTATGGGTACATGTACGAGGTGACCCCACATATTATATTATATACTTGTGTTCATGAATGGTTGTGCGTCTATATATGTATATAGTTATTTTGGACATTTTAATATTAAAAGATATTTTAAACCCTATGAGGTAAACACAATATTAACCCTATGAAGTAAACACAATATTTTAAGCACTGTTTAGGGGGTGTTTGGATCTGATTCTCAAAAGTGATTCTGCTCCTTCGAGGAGCAGAAGCAGAAGCTGGAGTGTTTGGGTGAAATTCCAGAAGCACTTCTGGAGCTCTAATTTACTCTCAGAATCAGTTTTTTTAGAAGCTGGGGGGGTACCAGCTTCTGAAAACTGATTCTGATTCTGCTTCTGCTTTTAAAAAAGAAGCAGAAGCAGAATCAGTTCCAAACACCCCCTAGTAACCATTTACTAAACATCTCCTGGCATAACCTTGACCACGATAGCGTAGCAGTGAAATCAGTAATGGAGGCGTCAACTTCAACTAAAATCGAAACCGAAGCCAAAAAGGTGTGTAGCAAACCCTATTTCAGACCTGCTAAGGATGATACCAAGCCTATTCTGCAAGACCCTGTAAGTTCCTTCTTCACCGATTCCTTTTGAATTTTTAAGAAGAAATAAACAAACCGATACATAGCTTATGGAAGCCATGTTGTTGTCCTTGTCTTTGCTTAGATATTGAGGTCAGACCCCATTGAGAGCGAGGAAGCTGTTCTCAGATTGCCCCCTTTTCCGGTCACCAAACCTTCAATTGCTTGAATATCCATTTCTCCTAATTGTAGACTTGTAGTCCATCCATTTTCAATCAATCATCTGTATTCATTGCGAACTTCTGGTATTTTATCAGCGCTGTTGTTCAATAAATTTTCTTCTACTCCCATGTTTGAGAATGTTTGAATCAACAGATTGAGTTTTTAGTTCTCTTTACATTTAGTGTTTGTTTAGTTTTGTCTGGCTGCACAGATCCCTTGGGCATTCTCCCTTCAACGTGGATCATAGTGGATCTGTTTGGAACTGGGAAAATGATATGGACAGTTAATTTTATAAGATGGGAAAATAGAAGGAAAAGGTGGAAGGAAAGGAAATTTGGGATAAAATGGACTGTGTTCAAACTCAATAAATAAACTTTTGATGTTTGTGCTAACTCTTTTTTTGTCTATGTACCTCTGGTGATAGAGATTACAAGACCTTAATTCATGTAAACTTTTAAAAGAGAAAATCTCAAAATTAACCAAAGCAGAATACATGTCCTCAAAGAGGATCAAACAACTTACAATCAAACTCGGGTTTCCTTTGTATTTGAGAAACTCCTTGGCGTGAGCATAAATATAAGTTGGGGAAATGATTACCAAATTAAAATCAGATCATGTTAGGTTTGGTTTGGCTTGGATCACTAGTCTCGTTTGGATTTGTTAGTTTTTTAACTTAGCAATCGAATCTGATGATCCATTTGATATATTTTCTTTGGTCTCAACTCTCAATTGTCCTTGGTTGGTGCAGTTGACTTTAGATCAACTTATACTTACTACTACTAGGATGAAGACCAAAGAAGTAGACTCTTGCGAGACTAATAATCATCAATGGTGTTGTTCATATGTGTATTTTGCTCCAGCAATCTTGAGTTCTGCTAGTTTTCTACCTTTTACATTTAGTTGTGTTTGAAAAACTTGCCAAATGAACCGTCTAAATCAATCCACTTCAATGTAAGAGGTTGCAATAGTTTCATTGTGAAAAACACCAAACTGGCCATTTCAGTGCAGATCACATGTTTAGGTGTTGGTTTCAGACCATATTGACTACATATACTGTTGTTGGTGTTACTGTTCAAACTGAATCCAAAATTATGGTGCAGATTATAGACAATATCACAAAATCATAATTGACATTGTGAAAGTCTGAAACTTTAAACTGAAACTGCTTATTAACTGATGACATCACTAATACTCTCATACTGTTTATTCCCACAACCCTGAGGAATGGTTGATTCACAGAATGAAGCATCACAACAGGTAATGCGATTATCTTCATGCCTTAGAGAATGTAAGGTTATCTGGACAATCGGATTGATTAGTTAGTAACGTGAGATTATAAAATACTTCGTATAAGATTATTTGGTGTGTTTGGTTGAGATAGTAAAATGTAATATTGATCTGTTTAAATTTTAAAAATTAAAATCAACTAATAATATAACAATGGAGCCTCACATACTTTCATCTACTTTATCTAATAATGTTATAATAATTGCAACCAAACGAGCTAATCTCATACTGGTATTACCTTTCAGCAAGAAAATAAAAGGGAAAACTGTCAAATAGATGTGTTTGAAATAAAACGGAAAATAAATTTATTTGATTGAAACCCCAGCAGTACACGCAACAGATGTGTTTGAAGGTTTACAAGGAAAATTATTACAGCTTATTATGAAATAATCACCTCACTATTAAGTGCAAAGAATATGTTATGGCCCTACCTATACGGTAATGCACTAATGCAATGTTCTACAAATGTATTAACTTATGTAACTTAATGAGTGAGACTGCCATGTTCCTTTGTATGATTATCGTTACATTTATTTGAATCTTGGGCCCCAAGAAACAGTTATTTACTTTGAGACTGCCAAGTTCCCCCACCATATAATGGGGTCAATGAGAATTCTGGGAAGACTGTTGGTTGAAAGGCAATGAAACTTCAGCAAACCCTTCTGGTAAAATGAACAAAGGTTTTGTACCAGATTCTCCTTTAAAGGCCATAGCAAGTGAGTACCCTAAAGCCCTTGCTACTGGCACAGCAACTGCATTTCCCACTTGTATGTACCTGAAAGGCAATGTCATAATGCAGCAATGACTATATATAGAAAGATACATGTCAGTTATATTAATCAAACTAAAGACATGTCCATTTAGACAGAAACTTGGGATGTTTTAAGCAGGAATGAAATTTTCTGATATAGTAAAGTCTAATGTTATGTGTCTTTAATTATTGCCCATGTCTAGTCTAGTCCTTAAAATCTAGTCTAAGACTGAAATTTTGAAATAATACTCAGTATATCTTCTGATGTATTTAAGTCTAGCCTCATATAGGTTGGTCTTGTTTTATATTATTTTTATTTTATTGTTATTTAACAGTCTGACTTGGTGTATTTAAATCTTGTCTGATCTAGGCTTGGCCTTGTTTTATATTATGTCTGTTGTATTATTATTTAATGGTGGTATGACTTTGTCTATTTGGAACTGAAAACTCCAAGTGAATAGTTTTTAATAATTTCACTTGGTAACAAACTTTTTTTTCCATGGCAAAACATATTTGAAAATTTGACTAATCAGTAGTGCGGTAGGGTCACCTTTCTTTTATAGGGCCACAAAGTTTATAGTAGTCTGGGAAACCTTGCAGCCGTGCATTTTCACGAACCGTAAGAACCCTATCCTGCTCCGGATGTAGAATAGCCTGGCCGTATAGAAATAATATACACAGAATATTTTAGTACAGAATCATGTCTATATTTAGGTATGATATACTGCATTACTGCCAAATGCCAATATCTTTATAGCAAAAAATACCCGGTTATGAGGCAGAGCCCTTGTCACAACAGTTGGAACAATTTCATCCCACCAAAGCCGAGCAAATGGCCTACAAATAGCAAATATTTTAAAAAGACTAACAGTGAGAAAATTGGAAAAATGCATTGAAATTAGAAAGAAGTGTTTCTAATTACTCTGTGGTAGTTCCTCTCACGAGAGTCATTACATAGTCAGGAACCTGAAGTTTAGAGTTGAGTGGTAAGGTCTGGGAATCAATTGAAGCAGCAAACCAAGCATAATACTAAGAACACCCTACCAATGGTTTGCCTGAAGGCAAGTACACTCTTTTAACTTTTGGGTCCCATTCAACTCTGTTATCGCGAACAATTACACCAGTCAAATTCCTAAAGTTAGCTCCCTAAAATATGACATGTAGACACTGGAATAAGTATGAAGGTTTTTATATTGAATAGCTAAATGCATTACTAAGCATATTCATGTACCTTGCATTTGGGGATCTGACAGACCCTCATATAATCATCTTCATTTAGCTGAAAGGGACGGTGATCATACAAAACGTGCCCGGGCATTCCTATTATATTGCAAAAATTAACAAGGAAATCCAAATTGATATGCAAAGTGTAAGCAAGTATATCACAAATGGCAATTGCAAAAATTAGTGGGGAAATCCAAATTTACATGCAAAGTGTAAGCAAGTATATCACCAAATGATAATTGCAAAAATACTTAACGTTCATTGTGTCTAATGTTAGATGCTTTTACTCGGAAGAATACCTACTAATCTCAACTATGTTTGGTGATATAAAACATGCAAGTTTCCTTTCATTGTTTAAAGAGATCTTATCTAAAATCTAACTCAGGGATAAAAATGTGACTAAATCACTAAAGTGATTATGAATCTACGTTTATAGTCACTAATCACTAAGATTAATATTTGAACATAATTATAGTTACTAAAACTTGCCAAGTCACATGTTTATCTACAATCCATTTTTTGATAATATTTTTGTAATTTATTTAAAATTTGTTAACAAATAAATTTATGCAAAACCTAATAATAGCGATGTTTGCTCAAATGTCAGTCATGTAGCGACATTTTAATATACTCAATTAAAATGCTTGACTTAATTAATATTAAATTTATATAAAAAACCATTGCGGAGGTTTAAACTTTAAAGCTGGATGCCCTCTAACCACAAACTTCTGAAAAACGTTTGTTACCGGTGGGCGTAGCTCAACTGGTAGCGAGGGAGTGCCACAAGGGTTAGGTCCCGGGTTCGAATCCCGGCAACTACGATGAGAGGTTACTATGCTAAAAATGCATAGGGCCTCTGCAAGTACCAGAGACGGAGCCCCTCTCTATCTGTCAGATTGTGATTATAGTTCAATTTACATCCTCCCATCGTGTCGTCCGGCCGGTGTTGGGGGGCCTCAGGGATGGGGTGTCATCCTTTTTTTTTTCTTCTGAAAAACGTTTGAAGGAATAATGGGAAAACTCCAAAGTCATACCGTCCTTATTTTTACCACCAAAATACTCTTAATGACTGAGATACAAAGTACTTGTTATAGTCAAGTCTCCTCACAAAATTGATGTTTTAAAATGGTATTGCCCCTGTTGATATTAAATGTCAATGATGCACACTGAGTACTCCCTCCATTCCAATTTATAATTCATACATGGTATTATTTTGCATCGGTATTAGGTAAAAAATAATATTCAGATGATCTTCTTATCCAACCCAAGAAAGTTGTGTAAATTATGTAGCAAGTCATATCAATTTGCAAAAAATGTAAAATGTTACAAGGTTTGTTGTTGTCCAAAAAAGAAAAATAGACATAATTATAGGACAAACTATAAAGAAAACTTGGACAATTAAAACATGATTGGAGGGTACATATTTGCATAAGGTGGTTGTGAGAGATATGGTGACTACCCAACAAGACATGTGACTTTAGATGATAATGTATTAATAAAGTGGTTGAAAAGGTAAAAGTTGTTCAGATTTAAGTATAATAAAGCAAAATGTTGTGGACCACATATTTCTTTTCAAAAAGGAAAATATGACACTTATTTTGGGACATTCCAAAAGGAAAGTAAGACATGTAAAATGAGACGGGGAGAGTATAAAAAATCATCACATGTTCACAATTCAAAACATAATTTGTGCATTTTGCAGATAACCATCACAATATTTATGTAATATAATTTATTCCGTGTAATTTCATACATAAGAACTTACCATCCCTTGCTAATCTTATGAATTTTTGGAAACCATTCTTTGGCTTGTCAACATATTCCATTTCATCTCTTGACTCATCATTCTTCACCTAAAACAATTTATACTAACTAATACATAAAGAGGGGGATATATATTGCAAAAATGGAGCATGGGAGTTTCTCATACATGAGGAAGATCAGAGATTGCATCACCAAGGAAAAGCTTAGTTTTTAGTCCATATCCACATCCTTCATCATATGCAACCATGTTTGGCTGAATTCATGCATAAGCATATTGTAGTTAAAAGACAAAGCAAAGAGGTTAGAAGTAAATAAGAATATGAAACTGCCATTGACAGATCTTACTTCAAACTCTGTAGGAAGGAAGCCTCTCATAATAACATTATGTGTTGGCAGAGGATACTGAGGCAACTTCTGCAAAATAAGATGAGTCACTTTATTCAAGACATTCACAGTAATGTCAACTTGTCAAGTTATACTAAACAAGAAATTGACATTACTTCTCCAAGAAGTGCACCCCATATAAAGACGCGTGCGCGAAATTGTGGAAGTCCATATGATCCCGCCACCATCAATCCTAGGCGTGTTTGATAATCCATCCCCACAAGTCGGCTGAGCGCATATCTCCCCAGAAAACCATGCGAAAATTTGACGATATCAACTACATTTTCCATCAATACAAACCGTGGCCTCAAGAAGTCCACAATATCCATGAAAACTTCTAGCTGCTTGTTCTTGGGATCTTCCAATGGATTCTCACTGTTCCTAAATCGGTTGAGTCCACTGATGCCTTGGCAAGGAGGGCCACCGCATATAACATCAACATTCCCCTGGATCAAATAAATGTTACAATGTAGTCCTAAACGATGGATTCATGAATGGGCACATTTGCTAGCAAAGCCATGGAACTTCAACACCCCCTCCCCCCAAGTGATCAATAAAATATTCTATATAAAGTATGAGCAGTGAACCATATAAGAGAAAGTGATCAAGAAAATAGCTCAGAACAAACTTACTGGTAAAGGCAAAATTTTTGCTTCAAACCCATTATGTACAAACTCCTTCATTTTTTGCTCACAGTCGCTACAACAACAGTAATATCCAAACCTTAGTCCTAAAAGAATTTGGGGTCAGCTAGCATGAACGATATATGAAATTGGAGCTAAAAAGATATATAAATAACATGATAAAATAAGATACAAAAGATAAGATAAAGATAACGATAAAGAAAAGATAAAGATAAAAAGACAAAAATAAATAAAAAGCATACGAAACAATCACTGGATTAACAAACCAACTAAATAAACAAAAAGGGAGCTGAATAAATCTATGTAAAACAGCAACACAAACCAAAGTATTGGCTACCAACTGTCCCAACATACCTCAAACCTTCTGCAGGTTCCCATGTGTCATCAGCTTCACCATATCCTTTCCAACGTATCTAGATGTCATTCATAAAATGTAAAAGCATAAAACACATTATTTGTATAAAAATATATCTATTAAACTTAAACCTATCTGAAAGCACAAGAAAAATAATAAAGTACCTTGAAATACAATCCAGACTTCCCAGTTTTTTTTAAATCCCCAAAGCAAACATCTACTACTTGTTCAACTTCATATACTTCATCCTCTGCGTCAATGTTAGACTCATCATCTTCTTCTTCATTGTAACTATCAGTCTTTCCGCTATTGTGGTTTTCAAGATTCAGACAAGGGTGTGGTAGTGAGTTGCTTTTTATTATGGAGCAAGAGACACAAAGGCGCTCCCATTCCCTCAAGAGGCATAAGAAATCCTCAGCAGGTTCATTTCTCACCTAATATAATGAAGGGACAGATAATATAAGATGCATAAACTCAATTAGAAAATAAAGTGCAAAATAAAATCATTTGAAGTATTTTCCATCATTTGCAATGGAGCCAAAGACTCACTATTTTTTGGCTTGGGAATATGATGGAATAAAGCAATATGGCTCACTAAACTGTCTGCGCTTCTTTGTTATGAAGCAGCGGTCAGTCCATTCAATTTTCGGCACGATTCTCACTACGGGTCATCCGAAAACAGTCTCTCTGTGCTTTAGTAAATGGGTAAGACTGTGTACATCCGACCCCCTTACCCCACCGTAAGTGGGAGCCTTTGCGGCACTGGGGTAATGATGATGATGAATAAAATCATTTGAAGTAATGCACACTTATCAGTACCTGTGTCTCTGGATGATTCAGTCTCAAGCTATCACATGCATGTTTGTTAAAATCCACTGCCCATTTCTATGCACAAGAATGTTATCAATATAATAGAGATAGGGATGTGTTATTAATACAAAACAACCCAAGAATTTGAAGATGCAAATCGAAGCTTACTGTAACAAGCTTAACACCATTATTAGCCGCTCCTAAGCACAAACCAGTGGACATTGCACCACAACCAGAATACAAATCAAGGAGGGTCTTTTCAAATACATGGTCCACTCTTTCTCCAGTATCAGTTTCAATTGATAGTGTAGAATTTGGTTCGCTATCAGCTTCATCTACAATATCTGAATGATAAACTTATTACGTCTTCTCAGTTTTAAGATTGAAAATTCTGCAAAATGAACTCACTACAGCTGACTTGTTTCCCAACAGCATAAAAAAGACAATAGTAAACAACAGTGAGGCACGAAGTGAAATACCACATGGCAGGCTTATAAATGTTGAGTAAGGCAACTGGTACATCATATTGTAATAGAAGTCGCACTCAACTGGAATACTTTCTGTAACATTTGCATTTACCTATACAAATATTAAACATGTGTGAAAATCAGGCAAAATATGAATTTTGATAATGTCAACCAATCATATCAAACCAATCATACTTTGGGAAGGAAGCGATGTATATTCAACTTTTGAACAAGGCAATTGATGGGATTATCATCTTTGAGTTCAGAATAGAAGACACGCCTACTGTCGATGAACTTGTCATGTGATTTAATTACCTGATGAATGAACTATGTCAGATTACTGTATCATTAGAAAGAAACTGAATTTACAAATACATTGTGTACGTGTTTTCTGCAACTTTTCATTTCTTACAGTATCTTTAGCTCTATAGAACCATTGAGCTGTGAAGTATCGCATGCCATCAATAGCTTCAAACATCTCAACAATTTTACAGATGTAATTATCTTCATCTTCCACAGCCTAAACACAAAGAATCAAAAGGAAAAGTAATAAGCACTATTTAGATCCATGGTAGTAAAACGTAGTGGCCTCACGAGTAAAAAATAAATCATGGCAAAAAAATGCAAAAGTCACGTTTTCCCTAATCAAGTTATCATGATAATGATTAAATTCAAAGCTAGACAAAATATTTGCACTTCATTCAAATAATGTATCCGAATGTTTATTCATGTTTTTCAAATCTCAGAAAAAGAAAGATTCACCAGAATGTGTAATATTTGGGTTTTTGAATGATCAGCAAGACTTAAGGTGATTAATGCAGTCCATTGACCAGCTTAAAATCATTTTTCTGAAAAAACAGATTTATACTTTCATTGCTGGTTTGGATTAAAGAAAATAAAACTAAATGAGGCAAATGAATGAATACAAGTTATAGTGAAGTTTATATCAAATTTAAAACACTTAGAAGCATAAAAGGAGTATAAAGGACCACGGCAAGCAAACACATTTGAATCTTACTTTCACATATGCATCATCTTCCAGGCAATAAATCTGGCCATCAACCTTCAGCCGAGTAAAATGGCATTTAGCCTGAATTATATTTTGAAGTGCATCCTGACTGCATCGTTTCATTTACTGTGCATTAGAAATTGAGGACATAAACACAAATATATTGCGCCGAATAAAAGGTCTGCGATTTCATATGCAGTAAATTACAATTGAACATACTACAAATAATAATGCCTTGCCTGTTTATGATCCGGCTTCCTCCATTTGCTTTTAGCTTAGTCTGTAACCAGAAACGGAGTTTAGTACTCCATGAATAATTAGCAAAACCAAGGTAGCAGAGCAAAGAGTTTACACAATGTAAAAACAGAGTACAAAATCAAATTTTCCCTTGTTAATTTCTTATGCTTGGTTTTACCTTGGAAAATGCAATGGAAACAGATGTGATTGTGGTTTGACTTCTTTTTACAATTACTTTAGATTCTTATTCTTTATATATTAGACATAAATGAATAAGTACCAATACATATCTAAAATAAACTTATAGAGTTTTAGCATAGAATCCTGAATACAGTTTATGGGAATGAATGTCCAAGAATTATATAAAGCATTTCTTCTAATTTAAATTTAAAGATCAACAGCTTTTTTATTTGTTCAGTTGAGAAGAAGACACTACATCATGTATGGGTAAACATTTCCTCTGAAATTGAAGAAGAACACTGATTAACATAAAAATGCTGTCAAAAGTATGCATATTTACAAAAAACACCTTGATTAGGAACAAAAAGTATCCCCTTTTACGATTCACCTTTACAAAAGCAAATAGAAGAAACCCACCCATAGATGTGTATCTGACTATCTGTATAATAACTGTATATGGAAACAAAACAAAAACAGAGAATTGTTGAAGATCAGACCCCTTGATAACGATGAGGCCATCGCTGCCTCGCTTCCACGTCCGGAACAGGGGCACCAATAAACATATCTTCATCCTCATTGAGCACGGAATCCTCCTCGATTCCACCGGAACCGCGCTCCTCCGCCGGCTCTGGCCGGTCCACCTGCCTCCCTCTCTTATGCCGCCGAACCGGAGCTGAAGCTGACGAAGATGCTTCCCGTTTTGGAGTCATATGAGGAGAATTGGGGAAGTGGGAGAGAAGAACAATAGTGATCTGGGGCAATGCCAAGCTAAAAATGGTTGCGAAAGGAGCTTGGGAAAAGGAGTTAGTGATTTTTTAAGTTTATAAAATCCGCGGCAGAGAAGCGGGAAACCTTTATAATTTCCCTTTTTACGAAAATGACCAAAATAGTAAGATCCGAATCTCAATAAACAGAAATGTAATTAAATTTATATTAAATGTGTTTATATAATTGAGTGGATATTTTCAAACACATGAATGATGAATCTATCACAATTTCTTCTTTTAATAACCGTCATTAACGAAAGGGGATAAGGGTCAGTTTGGTCCTCAAAGTTGCAAAAAAGAGGTCAAATAAGTCCTTATATAGAAGGACCTCTCTGGACGTGCCATTTGAGGTGGCTCCCGATGGAATTTTTTGATGAAATTTTTTGAGCATCTTATTCATTAAGTCTAGTTTACTCATACCAAATCTCAGATAAAAATTCAATCGGGAAGACATTAAAATAAATTCTTGAAGATGACAGTGCCGTTAAAAGCGCAGTTATCTTCAAAAATTCATTTGAATGTCTTCCCGATTGAATTTTTAGCTGAAATTTGGTATGAGTAAACTAGACTTAATGAATAAGATGCTCAACAAAAATTAATCAAAAATTTCTACCGGGAGCCACCTCAAATGGTACGTCCGGATAGAATCTTCTATATAAGGACTTATTTGACCCCTTTTTTGCAACTTCGAGGACCAAACTGACTCTTTACTCTTAACGAAAGATACATTAATCGTCATTAATGATGAAAAATGATCCGAACAAGGTTGAGTTGTTGAAAGTGTATCATATCACAATTAAAATTTTAAATATTTGTATCCTTTAAAACTTTACTAAACTAGTGAACTTTTGTAAATGTAAAGAAAAATCATCAAAACCAAGCAGTAAAATATACTTCATCCATTCTTTTTTAGTTGCAACAGTCAACATTTCACACTTGTCAATGCACGTCTTTGACCGTAATTATATCTAAATCTCTATTAGTATAAAAATAAGATTTTGAAAATTTGTAATGAGATGAATTGAACAATATTTTAAAAAAAAAAATTCATAAAATAATAATATAAAATATAGTCAAAGTAGAACATGTGAATAATGTAAAATTCAACGTGTTGCGATTAAAAAGAGACGGTGGATAGTATAAAAAATGAAAAAAGACAAAAAATATAATAATTTAGATTTTTGATTCAGAATTTTCAATCATTCAGACACTCTGCCGACTACTTTCATGTTTCATGTTCTAAATTAAGACAATCTTTCATGTCCAGCCATCCTAACGAGAACCGCCATACGAACGAGGGCAATTCGGGCACTTCTCAGTGAAAGTTTTTGATAATTTTTTTTGAACATGTTCTTAATTAAGTCTAGTTTACCTATACAAAATTTCAGTTAAAAAATCAATCGGGAAAGCAGTCAAATGTTTTTTTGAAAAATACTTGCGCTGTTTATATATATTAATTGCGCAGTGTTCTTAAACAATTATTTTTTACTGTCTTCTAGATTGAATTTTTAGTTGAATTTTCGTATGGTTAACTAGATTTGATGAAGAACATGTTCAAAAAAATTCAATAAAAAATTCCACCGGGAAGGGTCAGAAGTACCCTTGACCGGACAGAGGTTCCCGTCAGACCGGCTGGACAGGAAGACTACTCTCTAAATTGATACTACCTCCGTCCCATAATGGTTGTCTCATTTCAATTTAGCACAATTTTTAATAAAGTGGTTGGAAATGTAAAAGTTGTGGTAGAGATTCGAGTATAATAAAGTGAAATGTTGTGAACCACATATTTCTTTCCAAAAAGGGAAAGATGACACTTATTTTGGGACAACTCAAAAAGGAAAGTAAGACAGGTAAAATGGGACGGGGGGAATATATGAATATATCTAGAGATAAGTTAAAAATTTGAAAACAGAACAAAAAAGTTAATTAGACTTTCATTTTAGTGCATGTTTGGCAGACATAAGTCTCTGTCATCTAGTTTTTGTAGTGTTTAAAGAGTTTCTAAAAGTTTCGAGTTGTATGTATGACATGACAATTTTTAAGAGTATTTCAAAATTTAAAAGATCTTTTTTGAGATGTTATAGAGAGTGCGAAAAGCTTGCGACTTTTAGTATTAATTCGTGCTAACAACTTGTATACTAAACATAACTAAATCAAACAGTCAACTTTTTACCAAACAGTTATCATCTTTTCTTTATAAAATCTTTTCCCTCACAAAAAACTAATTGTTACTTAAAAGCTCACAAAAGTATTTTTTAAATTAGATATGTGAAACAAGGTGAACAACATCAATAACGTCTATCAAATTTACCATTTCAATCATTTCACCTGACTTCGCACATGCCACACAGGCTCCATGGTGAGCTTGATTAATCGGTTGTGCTTTAAATATCTTAAGTCACATTATTAAATCAATAAATATAATTCCCACTGGGTGAAAATTTCAATGTACCTAGCCAAAATAAAAAAATCACGTTTATATATATTTGAAAATCTCATCAATTAGTTACTTAATACTTCGTATGTTTTACTATTATACCACATATGGTTTGAACTTTGAATGATGAGATTCATTAATAGAAATTATTGATATTCTTCACAGTTTCACTTTTAAAAGAAACATCATTTAGGGATAAGACATAATGAAGAAACGAGGATAATATATGAGAATTGAGATATACTATTGTTGAGGTTTATTCCTTCAACCCGTGGACCCAACACGTAAGCCCAAAGGTTTCGAGTGGAGTGAAATGTATGGATGTCTAGCCCAACAACTATGAGATGAATCAGGAAACAATAATAATAGCAGGCAATGTAAATAGGTATTATTAACTCCGTAATAACTCCCCTAAGTACAATCTACTTGCTAAACAAGGCACGTCGGCCGTTCGTCTTACAGGCAGTTAGAGATGCTGCGAATAAGAATGCTCAAGCTAGTATGCTAAGAATAGAAAGTTGCCAACCCTTTACAATGGAATAGATGCTTCTATTTATACCCGCCAATGGGCAGGTGGCTGTAGTGACGTGGCAGCCTGTGGACCGCTGGTGTCCCAACTACCAAATCTTTAGCATTAAATGCACTTCCCGCCAGAATCTAGGTTTCCCGCCGGATTAGTGGGGACGTTCGTCCACCGGGAAGTGAGTTGGATTGCTCCAAGGGACCCTTGGGAGATATCGGCTGTTCGTCTCCTGGCCTTGGTGGATACTCACCATGTGGACTGGGTTTTCTCCGATGACTACAGGCTTGCTCTGGGGACGTTCGTCGTCATTCCTGGTGGCCCGTGGTCCTGCTCCTTGTCCCTGCATAGACGTTCGTCGGGATGAGCTGCTGGGCCTGAGTCCTCCAACACTAGACGTTCGTCCATCCCCGTGGCACATGGGCCTGTGGGCTGGCCTAGTGTTCTAACTGGACGTTCGTCTAGCAAAATGGGTTAGTGGGCCGAACCTCGGCTTGGGCCCTTAACCCAACACAAGTCCCCCACTTCTGATGTTCTGAGCATGCGCAGGACATAAGGAAGTATGAACCTCTCCGAAGTAGACGTCCGTATCTTGGTACTTGTGTTTATTGCACCTGGTGGAAGCATACGTTCGTGGTCACGGTGCTTGACAGCTGTTGACGGTTCAGGGAACGAGGTGACGGCTGATGTTGCGGCGGCGCATTTTCCCGAGGAAGCGTCATCATTACGTTCCCATCCCACGCTCAGCGCGTGGGCCGGAATACGCCCCTTGCCACGTGTCATCCCCTCGTTGGTTTCTCCATCGGTGTTTCTCCTATAAATGCCGGGTTTTCCCTCTGACTTAGGGTTCCCAATTTCTGCTTTCTTGCTCTCAATTTTCCGCAGCTCTTCAAGTTTCCCGAATTCGGCCAACCATACCTTTGTAAGGTAATTTCCCCCCTCTGCTTCTTTTCTTTACTCTGATTTCTAGCCGAAATGACTTCGATGGAGATTTCCTCAAGTTCTGATTCCAGTTCATCGGGTTCCTCCTCGGGCTCTTCTTCTGACAATGCGAATGCACGCTCCCTGGGAAAAACTAGTGTCTCCGGAACCTCGGGTTCGGCCACGACCGTGGGGACCATCCGGGCTGATGGCGAGCCGGATGACGTGTCCCAAGATAGCGGGAGCGACGCCGGGGGCGGGGGCGCTGACGGGGCAGTAGATGTTATTGACGCAGTCCCCCTGAATGAGCGTCCTGCTGATTATGATTCCGGAGAGGAGGCCGAGTCTGGTTCTGATGTGGAGGTGTATGATCTGGGCATCCCCACGGATAGGGAGCGCCACATTTGCCCGATCAGGAGTGCACTTGACCATGACCAAGTCCTCTCCCGCGTGGCCCTCAATAAAATCCGTACCTTCCTTCCCCCGCCGTTCGTCTGGAGTGTGAGAGGTGCTGAGCATGTGATGAGGAGACGTCCGGGGATGATCATGCTTCACCTGGACTCCATTGAAGCCGGGTTGCGGTTCCCACTGCACGCGTTCTATGTGGAGTTCTTCCACTGCTTCCAGGTGGCCCCGGCGCAATTCATGCCAAATTCTTACAGATTCATATCGGCATTCTTGGTGCGCTGCAAACTTGCGGGGGTCGATGCCACCCTGGAGCTCTTCCATTATTTCTACCGCGTCACTCCTCAGAACGCCGACGGGTATCTGAGCGTGGCCGCACGTCCTGGGAGGCGGCTGTTCAAGAACTACCCTTCGTCCATCCACGACTGGAAGAACCGTTTTTTCTTCCTTCGATACGACGGGCCTCCTCTCCCTCTCCGGTGGAATGGGTACCCCCCAAAGATTGAGTCACCGGAGCCGTCCGACGATCTGCTTCTGGATGCGGAGAAGGTGTTGGAGGGTGGCGTCCGTCCTATAGCCGGATTTCTGACCTTCGAGGCACTCTCTGGGGCAGGCATAGGTACCGTCCGTGTCCCTGGACTTTTTCTACCCTTCGACGCTCGTCTCGGGGCACCGGGCGGTCCTGTCCTTCGAGGTGAGTGTCTTATTCTATTCCCCGCTCGTCTCCTAATCCTTTGTTATTTTTTGCAGGTCCTCCGCCAGA